TTATCCTCACCCTCAGAAAATATCCAGTTCCGAGTAAGTCCTTGTAAATCGATTGTCTTGTAGTGTCAATCGATTATCGGGTTCCTCAGAACATTCCCAGTTTGAGCTAAACTCAATTAATCGATTTACTAAATGTGCTAATCGATTATCCTACGTCTCTGAACCCTGAGTGAACCAGTTCCTGTTTGCTCATCCTAAGATTGGGTATAAGGCTAAACTTATTTCCTGATTTTCAACAAAGAATAAAGCCTTTTCTTCCACAAAACAAAAGCATAATCACTTTTGAAACAAAGGAACAAAAATCAGAAACAAAGTCATTGAATGAATAGTGTTGTTTTGGCATTTTATTCACAAAAGTCTAAAGCTTGATTCCCCTTTGTTTTCCTCCTTATATGCACGAAATTTCTATCCAAATAAACCCAAAGAAGATCAGCTCAAAATCAGGAGAAGCATCATGGAAAATCAACTCACATGGATGGGCATTAAGCATTGATTTGTAGGAAAGAAGTAGGAAACTTCCTTGTTGTATTCTTCCTTCATTGTTCTTGTATTTCCCCTTATTTGTTGTTGTATAAATACTTCTGCCATATGGTCATTGTAAGCAGAACTAGATTATTGAATTAAAAAACCTTGTTTATTCTTTTGAGTAATGAATTAAGCTAGGGGTACACCAACATGGGGTACCCCAAGTGTACACCAAGCCAACACAGACACACCCATACACAAAATGTCTATGTTGCACAGACACTTTGTGTCTGGGTGTGTCTGTGTTGGCCTGGTCTACACTTGGGGTACCCCATGTTGGTGTACCCCTAGCATTGCCCTTGAGTAATTCCTTTAAAATAGTGTGATGCTATTTTAACCAAATTTCCTAATGAAATATCTCTAAAGTTGGCTACTTTTGAGTGCGTGTTAGGAGTCTAATTTTATACATTAGTAGTGATTATTAATGTGTAAAAGAAGATAAAAACTCCAAGTTAAGATAAGGGTGTGTCATATCTCTTAACACCAACTTGGTTTATCCCTTCACTTTATTTCTGCCCATTTCATTCCTCTCCATTTTTTCTTCCTAAACCCCATTCTATTCTATCTTCATAAATCAAAATACCAAAAAGAACTCTTTCCCATACTCCATATTTTACCCTTCAATTCCATCATCCATTTTTCTCCGCAAATCCTTCTCCAAAATAGCTACTCGTTAAGACCCCGGGTCTCGGCTACAACATCTGGTATCAGAGCCTGGTTTCGACGACTTTCCCAAGTCTCGACGATTACCGGAGGACCAGCTTCACCCACGTTGCACAAAAACAAGACTGCTGAATTGCTCCTGAAAATTTCAGCTCCAAAGCAGTGATCACGGAGGAAGGTGCAAAACTAATTTCGACGTGAAACTTTTCAGTCGGAAAGTTCAAGCTTTTATCTACGTCTAGCCGCTGATTTCACTCAATTCGGAGTTGTGGTTAGCGAGATACGCCCTTCCAAAGTTGACAATGCAGTCCTGTCCAAATGCTGTCTAGCTTGCTTCTTTTGTCTCCAACGAGGTAGCACACATACTTCAATGGCTCTGAAATTTTGATATGTCTTTATGGACTTCAATATCTAACTTATAGAGTTGGAATCACGACATTCCAATCTCTGGTCGTTGAGATATGGATATCCAAAGATACTTCAAAAATCTTGAGATTATTTATGCAAATGAGGCAATCCTTCAAGGACCTATTAAACGGTGCTACATGTGCTGTGGCTATGGCCATCACTATTGGAGGTGCACAAATAAAGAAGCCATTCCTTATGAAGAGCATGTAAGGATCATAGCAGCATATGAGAATCAACAGGATGGCAATTACGAAGATGTCTTTGATAACCATGTCAAAGATGAAGATGACGTCTTCGTAGAAGAACCAGCTTCTAATGCTCAGAAAGAATCACACTATAATGATTCTTTCCTTATTCATGATGACTTCGTTGATGAGGTAGTTATAGAGAAAGCCACACTGGAAGTAATATATTCTACGAAGTGATTTCCATAGAGTATTATCCTCTTTTCAATGAAGGAAAATCTTATCTCCTCTCTGAGGTATGTTTGAAGCAGGTTTTTACAGGGAATGGCATCATGTTCCGGAAATTACACGATGAGGTGCCCACTAATTCCGGAAGGAACTTCATTATTGGTGGTTTCTTAAATTTCCCATTTGATCCGGGAATTCTCTTATGAAACCCCAATCAGTCACGGTGGTGCGAAAGTTTGAGGACAAACTTTCTTCGAAGAAGGGGAGTATGATGTACCCCTGGATGGCTCCACCAAAACCCCAAACTCCCCCACACATCCAAAAGTCTTCTTTCTGTTCTTTAATTCAAAATAAAGTCTTTCCCATCAATTTTTAACTCCGGGTCAAAAATGAAATCAAAGGAAGACAAGTCAAACCTTAGTTTCTTATTATCTTTTAAAACCTTTGTTTCTTTTCAAATCCTTTTTTACCCAAATAATGCTTTCCCTTCTTTTCTTCTAATCCTGATTCTGAACCCCTAAATAATCGATTATCTTTAATTGATAGTCGACTATTGAAGTCCGCAGATTCTTCTTCAAAGTCCTTAACTTCTCATAATCGATTGTCAATAACTTGATAATCGATTATCCTCACCCTCAGAAAATATCCAGTTCCGAGTAAGTCCTTGTAAATCGATTGTCTTGTAGTGTCAATCGATTATCGGGTTCCTCAGAACATTCCCAGTTTGAGCTAAACTCAATTAATCGATTTACTAAATGTGCTAATCGATTATCCTACGTCTCTGAACCCTGAGTGAA